GGGGGGAGGGGCCAAAGTTCCCGCGCCGTCAGCAGCCCGTGTCAAACGAACGGTTCGCGTACCTTCGCGGCGACCCCGCTTTTCTCACGCGTGGGGACTTGTTCGGGGTTCTACAAAGGATACAAACGCTTGAATATTTATTCTTTATCTTCATAACGACAATCAATAAGCTGCATCATACTTTATATACAATAATCATAAAATAAGTTACAGTTTTTAATTCATGAATTTGTAGAAAACCAACTGATTAGGTACTTGCAAGGAGTAAGATAAAACTTTGAGTCCCACGCAGGGCCTTCCTCTCTCTCAATGTTTACATCTCGCGGCAGCTGATTGGTTGGTTTCATGACTACTTCAAACTCTGTCTCGTGGCCGTCAAAACATGATGTTTCTTGGCTTCGAGTCAGTACAATCAGCTGACTCTCTGCTGGAGCGCGCAGACACACATTTTTCAGAGAACGATTTGTGACTGAAAGAGAAATAATATTACTGAAGAATTGTGTTGTGTGTTCTCTTGGATACCATCGGAGATATCTCAGTGATTTTGCAGACGTTTTTAACCTTTATTTGTATAAAGAGACAGCAGCCAAATTTCACCTGTCATACTCTGTTCGTAATCAAGTGACCTGGTTTTATAAAGTGCGCCCTACTATTTACACCGAGGGAAACATTAACATTTCGACTTGGCATTCTTCCAGAGACAAGACCTACATAACATTCCTGGGGTCGGATATTGCCCCGTGAGACATTTTTATGTGAGTGAACAAATGGGCAAACATAAACATCTTATCAGTGAACAAATCCCCAATGGTTTTGCCACTGCTCTTGTTTTAGTGTTATTGTTTCATTTTACTTCGTCTGCAAACTTTGTGAACTCCTTCCGTGTTTCATTCTTCCAAAGAACTGGAGTGGTGCTATTTTCACAAATGAACGGATTTTAATGGTGAAGTGTTGTAACTGTACTGCCAGAGGTGAGTGGCCAGACTTTTTAATAACTAATAAGTCACCTACTTTAGTAGTTTCACGGACGAATACAGCCCTGCTGGTTAGTATGTGTGTGAGGTGTACCCACCACAGTAGCGTACAATCGCTTTCCCATACGCTTTCAAGTCGACTGAGCCCCGCGTCTCGTCTGCGGTTGAAAGTGACGACGGGATTTTAGCTCTCAAAATGAAATAAGACCTTAGGGTGGAGAACAACGGCATCAGGTAGAAAATCGACAGACCCTTACTACTTAGATCTAGTTCCTCGAGCAAGAAAGTTCTTTAGCACGCTATAACGCACACTCTAGACATTACTATTAGCAAGGGGACATCTAGACTCCACCAGCAGGATACAAGAAACTATTAAGTTTTGTCTGAGAACTCAAAAAACAGCAGATATGCAGCGACGTGGGTGTCCTATCGAATCGGACCATATGTACGACCGCACCAGCAAACCCAACGCTGACGATTTGTTGTATGGCTTCGGGAACCAGACAACGTCCCTCACAGACCCCATGCTGTGCGGGAACATCGAGGATGATTTTAACAGATTTCTCGTCTCCACAACCGAGTCCAACAGCCCGATGCCTGCACTGGCCTTGACCCAAAGTTCTTCTCACTTTACCCTCCCTGTTGACAGTTTGCTGAACCCCGAGCCAGGAACTTTTTCATCTGATCTGGCGATGTGGGGCAATCATGAACGAAAGAGGGTTAAGTCTATCAAGGAGGAGGACGATGATACGGATGTGTTCTCGTCTTCTGCGAGTAATGTCGATATAGATCTGGATCTAGAGGATTTTGACTCCAAGAGCACCTGCTCTCCTGTGATGGACATCAAGCGTGAGCTGGGGGAAGACATGGAACTGGATGACAATGTCTCGAGTTTGGGTTCGCCGGGAAGCCAGAATGGTGAGCAGATAAATCGCCTGGGCCTCAGCGTTACTGAAGCAAGGGATTACGTCGAGATGAAGTACATGAAGGCATCGGGATTGCCCCGAAGTGAATGGTGTCATCAAGACAAAATCAAACACATTCTAAATCTGAGCGACTGTTCCGATTACACCGTTGAACATGTTCTCAGTTTTGACAGAAAATGTAAAGAGACAGCCCATGCATGTGCGAAGATTGTACAGAATATACAAATACAATATAGATGGGACTGTGTTGAGCCGGAAGACATTCCTTGTTGTTATACAATAGTATCAGACTGCAAGAAAACAGGGGGAAGGACGAAACCGCCCCGTCCAATGAATGCTTTTATGATATGGTCTCAGGGAGCCCGCAGGATGATCAACGAGCTGTGCCCCCGCATGCAGAATGCCGACATCAGTGCAGCTTTGGGAGAAGCCTGGCGACTGAAACCCGACGTGCTCAAGCGTCATTTTGAGGAGGAAAAGGTCAAACTAAAAAGATTCCATAATGCAGAGTTCCCGAGTTACAAGTACAAACCCCTCACAAAAGTCCAGAAAGCTAAAGAAAAACAAGCGCAGTCGCTTTCTAAAGCGAATGCGAGAAGCGCCATTCAGAAAGGGAAGAAAAGAGCAGCAAAAAGTCCAGCTCCCTCTGAGAATATACAAGACGGGGCGCCAACGCCCAAGAGACCAAAAGGAGGACGCCCCAAGAAATCCAGCGTCGACCAACAGCCTAAACGACGTACAAAGGAGCTCCCCTCTTACACCTCAACCGTAGGCACATCTCCGACAAAGCCTGCAATCAAAGACAAATTGACTTTAAAAATCTTAGACCGGCGCTCCAAGGGCGTGAGTCCGCCACCTCCTTTGCAGGGTGTTATTCACGGCGCTTTTGGACAGCCCAGCCCCCCAGAGGTCACCAGTCCAGAACTATTAAGGATCTTCAAGGAGGAGCCTATCGAGACGGTCGCCATGGATCAACGATCTGTCTGTTTGCAGAGCCAGGTGGTCAGGAGTCCCGTGCGCTCCTCTGTGTATCTCACACCGGTGAGCTCTCCCGCCTCGGGGACCGAGGAGCAGAGACTGAGCCCCCCAAACGTCGATGCGTGCTCGTCGCCACTGCGAAACCTAAACAAGCTGCCGCGCCAGCTATCGTCATCACCACCATTATCAGCGTCATCACCATCATCTTCATCGACATGTTCTCCTCAACCGACCGCCGTCCCCCAATTTATTTCGAGGCCCAACAACCCCAGCCCCTCCTCTCTTGCCCATAGCATGACATCCACCACCGCCCGAATGCCATACATATCTGCAATGCTGGCGGCACCGGCGAAAACGCTTTCGCAGTCTCTTCCCTCAACAGACATTAAGCCTACATTGCCCGTGGTCATGAGCTCTCCCAGTGTGACAACGAGGACTCTGCCCGCTGAGGTCTACGCCCCTGTAACCCAGGCCTACCCGAGCTTTGGATCACCCTTCCTTGCCAACAATGCCAGCTCCTCCCCAAACCTGAACAGCACAAGCGACTTCGCTGGCTTTGATGACGGCCCAATACATGTTGAGACCCGCGTTGAAGGCGTAGATGGTCCCATTTCAGTTATCCTTCAACCCATCCGTAACGTCCCCAGTGACCCCGTAGGCGGGTTTACACCACCTGCTGGTTACCTTTCACCGTACGGCATTGGCAACAGTCACGAAATCGCTGCCAGAAATGGCAACGAGGTAGCAGTCGGTAACGTCAACGAAAACACTACCAGCAAAAGCAGCGTAGACTCTTTTCTTGAGAACGTGGCAGACCCGAGTTTCAACCTAAGTCTTGAGGCCATTTTAGCTTGTGTCAATGAGCAAAACTCCAGTGGAACGTCGTTCCTTTCAACGTCAGTGGAGCCGGACATGGGTACAAGCATAGATGACATTGACATTTCTCCTACTGAGCCCTTTTTCCCGGATGAATGCTGGACCAGGATAGTTAAACAGATGGAAGGGGAACAAGATTGAGGCAGGTGCCCAAACTGTGTTACTTTGAGTGTGTGTATGTGTGTGTGTGTGTGTGTGTGTGTGTGTGTGTGTGTGTGTGTGTGTGAATGAACGCACATAAACCCACCGCGCCTCAGGTCCTCGTTCCCGAGCGGTGCTGATCGGCTGGGATTCATAGACTTGATGGAATTCTATTCAGCAATTCTTCGTTGGAGCCTGTAAAATGTTTCGGACTTTCAGCAATTAATTCTTGGTGCCTGCAATGTACATTCGGAGCAGCGACAGTATCACGTTGATTCAAAGACTTGCCACCAACTTTCTTTTCATGGCTCAGAGTAGATAACTGTCTCGCTGTCTGATTCTCATTCTTTCATCATTTTTGTTTAATCGACAATGCCTTTATGACTCACATCCCAATGTCATGCTGTGAAAAACACTCTCTGGGATTTAAAACAAAACAAAACAAACATCCTTGGCAGCCCTGTGATTATTTGTTGTGAGACAATTTTATTTCTGAGAAAGTCGTCATATCGTCGGAGAACAATTAATTAAGCAACTGTATCATTGAAGAAAGTTTTGTGTTCTCTATAACATTACTGCTGTATATATATTTTATGGCAATATCAAGGACACTTGCAAAACCTCTTTATATGAATAAGTGAAGAAACATTCAGTCCTCCCTGTTTCGATTGGCGGATAATATGTTCATGATGTGTTATATAGACAAGTATCCTTACGCTCACTGCTTCATCATTCAAAGACTCTAGTAAAACTACCTCGCTCTGTTTGGACTTCTCACAGCATAATTCTATGGTATGTTGGCATTCTGTTGTACATACAGCTTGATGGCATCTTATCTTCTCATTCATCGTTTGTTGGTGCCAACTACTGTGTCCGGAGGTAGCGGACGTCGTTATACTCGCAAGTGAGTGCATAATTGGTCATCTATAATACGTATGTCGTATGTTAGCCACAGTTAGATTTGGTCAGCTTTGTTTACCCCAGTGCTTGGTCATGAACCCCCTCCCCTCCACCTCCACCCCACCCCCTTTCCACATCCCTCCAGCCAATGTATTATTCATCCATTCACCAACCACTCCCCTCCCATTTTGACTTTTCTACTGGCATGTATAATACGCAGTGAAAACT